CACAATTCCCGACAATTGTGATCCATTTAACTCTGTAAATAAATTAATTCATTTAATTATTTGTAGGTTCATCTCATACAAAAGGTGTAACAACCGGTGTATTAATTGCCACCCTGTCTAGACCAGTCAAAGTACATTATTTAACAAATACACATGTATTTAGCATTAAACATAACTTAAAACTTTTATCTAAAGATAATGTAGAGTATCAGGGTGGTGATTGATTGCAATCATTTCAAATTGAAGGGGTGACATCATTTTGAACCACAATTCCCGACAATTGTGATCCATTTAACTCTGTAAATAAATTAATTCATTTAATTATTTGTAGGTTCATCTCATACAAAAGGTGTAACAACCGGTGTATTAATTGCCACCCTGTCTAGACCAGTGTCCGTTACAAGAGTACCACTGTTAGTATTTATAGTTGTTTTAACTCTATCTCTATTACCAAGCTCCATTGAATTATTTGACCGGCTATTTATATATCTATGGGTTTGAGCTATTCTACGATATTTACAATACAAATAAATTTTATAAACAATAGCACTAACAACAACAACAATAACAATAACAATAGCAATAACAATAATAATCATCCTAACTATGGACACAATTAAATTGAGCCATGAGATTATATATTCGTAAGTTTCACGGGTATGAATAATACGTGTGACATGAATAGTGTCACATTGATCGCATCTAATACCCTGGTCATATAGGCTGTCCGAGCAGTAGCATCCATCAGTTTTTCTGGCACACCATTTGCGGGAACTACACTTCAAACAGTCGGAACTATTGCGACACCCGTTGGGTTTGCATCCATATGAATCCTCTATTAGCTCACTATTGGGTGAGCACTGGCACCCACCAGCCTGACACACAAATTCCTCCGACCCTGTTATGTTGCTCACACAATCTAATGTTTTTTTACACGGTTGACCATGGATATTTTTCAAGCAAATATCATGGTAATTAGCATTTGATGTAAACCCTTTTCTACAAACACATATATTAAATTTATTATATGTTTTACAAACTCTATTCGTATCATA